TTGCTTTCTAAATTACTGTTGCTGCAGAAATGAAATGTATAATTTCAGAGGATAATAGCTTGAGCATTGAAAATAGGCAGCTGAACAGGTCAGCGTAATGCACGCCATGTGTTTGTTAAAATTGTCTCTAAGGTTATGCAAGGCTTTGTTTGGGAGAAGACATTGATTGATCAGAATTCTATTATTTACACTGTAGAAATTGTCTTGAATTAATTGTTTAAGGCAAGGTTTTTAAAACCGGATTGGTTATTGAACCGTTTTTGGGTCTGGTTTTTGGTTTGATCGGTTTAACTGGTTAAACTGGTGAACCGGTCGGTCCAACTAACAAGGGAAATTTGATGAGAGGGGTAGGTAATTTTGTAATTTCATTAAAATTAAGGGTTAAAATCGGTATAAGAAAGGAATGGTGAGGGTGAAATTGGAAAAAATAGAAAGAAAATTGCATGAGAAATTGAACCGATAGTTGTTTTGGTTTTATTGGTTTCACCGGTTTTAAATGGTTTTGAATGGTTTTTGACCGGTTTTGACCTCAAATGATTTTTTTATATGAACCGAACTATTTTCATTATCGGGTACCGATTTGACCGATTCAACCGGTCGATCCAGTCCGATTTTAAAAACCTTGGTTTAAGGATTTTTTTATATTGTGTCTTAAGTTACGGCATAGTATAATAGTATAATAAATATATTTTTTATAATTAATTTTTATTAAAAAAATAAATTTTAATTTTAATTTAATTAGTTAATTAAATTATTTACGTATTAATAATATTAAAATATATATTAATTTTTTATAATTTTTAATATGAATTAATTATAAAAAAATATATTTATTATATTTTTAATTTGGTATTTAAAATATAGGTTAGACAAGTTTATTGTTTAAATATCCTTGAATTCTTCTGTCTTCTAATTATGTTATTGAATTTTGAGCTCTTTGCTTGAATTAATGCATGTGTTTTCGATTTAGTTTGATTGTCATTTTTTTTGGCTGCATAAAAGTGGATGGCTCATAGATTCATTCTTTTAGGATTAGATTCGTTGAATCAAATGATGCATATATAATATTTTTATAACAATTGTTTTTTTTTTTTTTGTGCTAATTAATGGCTTGAATTACAACCTTTGAAAAGAAAA